TTTATAGAGAAAATAGAAACTATCAGAACACATGTTCCTCAGATTCTCACCACATGGATCCTGTTCAGCATTTGTACTCACACTGAAAACAGCTGCCTGTTTCCCATGCTCCTGTCTAAAGCCAGTCTCTCCTCTTAGGAACCCATTTTCTCTTTCTCCTCCTTCATCACAACTTTATAATTCTCCTTGGAAGAAATTTCTTGAAAAGCCAGTTTATATTTGCTCTAGAAGTCCTTTTCTCCCATTCCCTCTTAATTTTTTTTCATGTTTATTTATTTTGAGAGAGAGAGAGCAGGCAGGGGAAGGGCAGAGGGAGAAGGAGAGAGTAAATCCCAAGCAGGCTCCATGCTGTCAGCACGGAGCCCAATGACAGCTTGATCTTATGGAATGTGAGATCATGACCTGAGTCAAAATAGAGTCGGATGTTTAACCGACTAAGCCACCCAGGTGTCCCCTTTTTGAAAAGACTTTTTTTCATCCTCCCGTTGTCTCTTAAATCAATTATGTTCAGCTTTTGCCCCATCAATTTCAATAAAATTGCTCTTGTCAAGGTCAGTAATAACCTCCACATTGTTAAACCTGCTAGCCAAATCTGACCCAGGCCTTATCCTATTCAACTTGTTAGCTACATTTGACAGAGATGATAACTCTTTCTTTCTTAATAACTCTCTGCATCTGAATTCAGAACACAACACTCATCAGAATATTTCCTCCAACCTAACAGGTTATTCCTTCTCAGTATCCTTTGCTGGTATTGCCTTTTATCCCCTCTTTCATCGAGTTCGGGTTTTGATCTTCTATCTACACTCATTCCATATCATCTATATACTGATATTTGTATCTTCAGACTGGACCTTCAGCTGCCTACTTGACACATCTATTCAGATACCAAGTAGTCAAACTTAAAGTGTACTCCTGGTACACCAAATTTCTCCCTGTTCACCAAATCTGCTTTTCTGACAACCTCTTACATTCAGACCATAGTAAATCCATTCTGACAGTTGTTTTGGATAAAAATCTTGCAGTTTTCCTTATTTCTTTTTTTCTCATATACTACATCCACTCTATCATGAAATCCTATTGGATTTACCTTAAAAATATGACTAATATCCACCCATTTCTCTATACCTCCACTTTTCACCTTTGATCTGAGTTGGCTTCATCTCTCAACTTAACCACTATAATAACTTCCAAATTGTCCTTCTTGCTTCCACTCTGTTCCTCTTCTTCAATCCAGTCTCAACACAATAGAATAAAACTCATAAATTGAAGTTAGATAATGTCACTCTTCTCAAAGACCTGAATGTGCTCCTCATTTCACTCCGAGTAAAAGCCAAAGTCCTTATAATGGTCTATTAAGTCCAACATGATCTAACTGCACCCCCTTCTTACCTACAAATATTATATATTTCAGGGAATGGTAATTTGATGTGACAAGTGTGCTTAAGCATCAGAAACTTTAGAGGCTTCCTTGAACTTTTTCCCTTTACCATCATACGTCCAATCAGTTATCACACCCTGTTGATGACTCTTTTCCTATATCTTTCAAATCCATTTACATCTTTCCATTGCTGATGACACTGTTTCTCCCCACCTCCAGGCAAATCTATCTCAAATCTATCTACCACATTTAATACTAAAGTGATCTTTCTAGTTAAATGTAAACCTATTTATATCATTCACGAGTCTGTACAATTCCAAAGGTCTTTCACTCTAACAACTTTCTTTGATGATTCATAAACTGATACTTGGATTATATAAGACAGTGCCTTTCAAGTAGAAAGCTTTAGTTATAATTCAAGCTACTTTTGAAATGTCTATTATAATAAACTCGTTGGGTCATTTATTCAAAATGTTTTTTACAGCATAAAATTCCTTTTTTGAGGGTATATTAATCTTTGTTCTGTAAATAACATTTTGTCAAGATTAATTCTTGTGCATGTCATCATTTATAAAATATAGATTTATCTAATAATTTAGATTATTTTTTTAATTCAAGAAAAGGTCAGCTATCCTGGCATAAGTACAGACCTATGTACAGACCTAGCCTATTTCTATCTTAAGGTTACTATAGATTTCAAGCAAATTGGAGATCAGAGAAGATAGGTGATTTGATGAAAAATATCCAGCAAATCAGTGACACTATTGACTCTGGAATTCACTCTCTTTCAAAGCATATTATGTGGTAGTGCCTATATGTGCAGGTTTTTAAATACAAAATATAATAAATCATCTATGTATAAGACATTTTAAGTTGATGAATGTCTACCTTAAAAGTTTTAGTATAAAATTCAAAGTTTTATCTCTTCATATAAAACAAATCAGCACTGTCCTACCACACTATTACTAAATATCAGTTTATTATAAAATTTTTAATGTAATAAGGAGGTGACATCTTACATTAGGAAACCACAGTAACATGCTGTTTGAAACCATTTCAACCTTTAAAAGGTTAGATTTCAGTTCTGTTCAAAGGTCAGACCTGAAAATACCAATTTTGGAATGTGTGGCAAATTACAATTTCTCCACACATTTTGGATGGTACCAGTGGAGTCCTGGAAGTAGTAAAATGTGTGTGTTTTTATCTTCTCACTCTGGTGCTCAGAGGTTTGGGAATAGACCTATCATTTCTTTTAGTCTTAATTTTTAAATAAATAAATAAATAAATAAATAAATAAATAAATATTCTATTTACCTCAAAGGACTGTTGAAAAAACTCAAAAATTAATCATCCATAGAAACACTTGGTATACTAACTGAAATGAAGCTGAGATTTTCCTAAAGCAAGAATCAGAGCACTTGTCATCTCTCCCATTTTAGAATTTTAAATCTGGTAATAGTCATTCAAATCAGTGTTAATTGAGTAATAATTATATATACAGACACTTTCTGGGATCCACATACCATTTTTATTCACAAATCATATCCCATCCTTCCTCTCCTATAAAGTTGAATCTGGTGCATGGCAGACATACAATAAATGTTCACGTTCAAGGAATTAATGCTAGTCTTCATTAATATCATAATGACTACTACTAACATGTATTGAGCATTAACTATGTGCCAGACACAGTGCTAATTACCTTATGTGCATTACCAGGCTATAGAGTAAGTTAATATAATTAATTAATTGGTAGTTTAATTCTACACCTAAGAACACAATAGCATAAAGAGGTTAAGTCTTATAGCTAGGTATGATATTTAGTTCATGGTTAGTAAACAAACTTAGGTAGCCTGACTTCAGTGCCCACAATGTATCAGGGATCCATTCATTTTAGCTTACAATTCTAGAAAGAGGAGAGAAGATAATAAAGAAATAAACAAATGAAGAATGTAATTTTATGTAATAAATAAGAATCTGGAAAAAGGAAAGAGGAAAATTTGACCGAAGTGACAAAAACAATGTTGAAAAGTGGTTAAGAACATGGACACTACCACCAAGTTTGAATCCCAGGTCTGCCATTATGGGCTAGTTAGCTATTTATCCTCTATCTGTGCTTCCTTGTCTATCATAATAATACCTAATTCACATATCAGTTATGAGATTTAAATGAGTTAATACACATAAAATGCCTAAAATAGTCTGTGATACATAACGTTAAAGTATTTGCTTGAAACTTATTGGTTATTGATATTACTATGATTGTTCTTTTTGCATCTTTGCTATTATAATTGTCATCACATTGAGGGCCTTACTTGAAATAAGGTGATCTGGGCAGGCCTCTATGAGAAAGTGTATTTGAGCCAAAACTCAAATGACACTCAGACACATGAAAGTTTGAAGACAGAGATTCCAGGCAGCAGGAGCCAATGTACAAAAGCCCCACAACTAGAATGCCTAGAAAAGAAGGCCAGTGTGGTCCGAGATGAGTTTGCTAGAGCTTAGGTTAAAGAGCTGGTCAGAGCTAGGTTATATTGAACTTCACTGGCCATGGTGAGAAGTTGAATTTTATTCAAAGTTCAGTGAGAAGCCACTGAGCTTAATGATGATAACATACTTTGATTTACCTTTTATAAATATCACTCTGGTTGCCATGAAAAGATTAGATAACAGCTTCCATAAAATATCAATGTCACCACTTTCATTAATCATTATTTTTTAAATCTTAGTTTTCCTAGGGGAAAATAATTTTCTGGATATTTTTGGACTGTTTTGTATCAGTGCTCTTAAAAGTACAGTCAGAGTAAAGGACTTACGTAGAGTGCATACATTTATACACATACACAATACTCATTTTGAACAAAGGTTATACGGAATACCCATATAAATGATACCTTATGATTCTAAAATCCATATTAATCATATCTAGTGGATTTAAAAATCATATCTCTTTGAGGGAAAGTAGTAGAATAGTTCACTTACTTCAATATAAAGGGAGGAAATTCTTTAGGTCCCACTTCTCATATTTCTGTCATTTGGACTTACAATTATTAGCTTCTTGCCCCCAGAGAAAGGAAACATTGCAAATCCAATTGGGTGGACCAGGTATGTGTTAACAGTGGGTGTGGTTACTTTCCTTAATCACCTCCTTACCCCCAGCCTTATTTCCTCACACTTCTCCTCTCCAAGTTCACTTTGGTTCAAGTAGATTGAAAGCCCACTTAGGCCAAACCGTCCAACTCAATCTTACCAGGTTGACGCAGGTTCTGTGGCCTCAAATCAGCTATTAATAAAATCCTATATTGAGTTGATACCACTGTATGGAGAGGGGTAAACAGCAGTGGAAGAAAAGCATTTCCAGGTCTCTGGTTCTTTTACTGCCATAATAGCATTAAATTATCATCCTTTAATATGTAATACCTGAAAGACCATTAATGTATTCAACAAGAATATTATATTCACACTCTGACAAAAATTGTAATGCCCTACATTGTTATACATGTGGGTGAACGAAAAGCACAGTGCAATTTGTAGGAAGGTTCCTCTTAATTCCTTGAACTCATTAAGGCTTTAGTTTTAAAAGTTCAAAAATATAGCTGCATAAAGTGAACTGCTTTACCTGTATGGCTAGTTCCGTTGTTCTTGACTTCTGTGGTTCCCACAGAAGAGGTGGGCGGACTAACAGGAGGGCTGGAAGTAAAGCTTGCACACCCTGCAGATGTGTTGATTTCAAAATATTCTTGGTTGTGATTCATTCGATGAAAATCCAGAGAAGACACAATAGATGTTCGTTGTTTAGGCTAAAATAAATGGGCATGATGAGAGTATTAATATGATCATGTTCATCTTCAGCCTAATCTCCCCATTGATTTAATCTAACTGATGATTTTATCAAACTATCTGGTTTTTATACTCAAATTATAATTGTACTTTACAGAGAGACACTAAATAATCCCTTGATTAATTAAATAATAAAAAAAATTGTTTACTGAAAACATATTTTGGCATAGCTGATAAAATAACTTAGACTTTTTGTTAGAATTCCCCAGAAGACTGTACAGATATAGTACCCAATTTTTTTCTTAATAATCAATTCAGAAAGTTGAAATTTTAAAGACACCTTTCATTTAACTAACATTTATTAAGCATATGGCATTTTCCAGACCCTGAGGATATAGAGTCTAATAATAAAAGAGCTCTTGAGGGTTGATGGAGGGTGGGAGGGAGGGGAGGGTGGGTGATGGGTATTGAGGAGGGCACCTTTTGGGATGAGCACTGGGTGTTGTATGGAAACCAATTTGACAATAAATTTCATATATTGAAAAAAAATAATAATAAAAGAGCTCTTAAAACGTTGAAGCATAATTAAGGCAGTTCTGTTTTGTTGTTGTTGTTGTTGTTGTTGTTGTTGTTGTTCTTTTTCTTCTTCTTCTTCTTCTTCTTCTTCTTCTTCTTCTTCTTTATATAGTCCAAGGAATTGATAGCATTAGATATTTTCCCCAAGTACCATATGCTGGAATTTGATCATCAGAATTAAGTTATATAGAACATTTCCCAGGACTTAAGAATCTACTTGGTATTTGTAGTGAACTTTGATTTCCTTTTTTAAGGATTTTAATTAATCCCCAAATAGAAAAGTCAATTTAAACATAAAAGTTAAAATCATGGAGTAATAGATATAATTTACATCCTTTGTCAGTAATGAATTGCTCCCTCTAGCAGTTTTCTGGGTTTTTTTTTTCCCATAGTTTTAATTACATACATTTTTCTTCCTGACTAGCAGAGCTTCTAACATTATCCTTGGCAGTCTTTTTGGCGTTCAGAATTGTGTGCATTTCCCAAGATTCAATCCAAGTTTTCTTACTTTTTATTCTCATTAATATTACTTAAATATTAACAATATCCTATAATAATTAACAAGAGATTAACTTCAATCTCTTTACAATAAATTTTACTGTACTTTACTATCCCCAAAGTACAATCAACTTTTGGTTTATTTTGATCACTGCCATCAAATACTGGTTTATTTAACCAATGTACTCCATAGATTATTTTCCTGCAAAATATTCAAGTTACCCTGTCTCTTCCAGCTCATCATGTTTTTTTTAACATTTAATTTAGTCTATAATTTAAAATAAACAATGATAATGAAAAGGTCTCTATTTTACAGTTTTTTTAATATAAGGGGTACAAATGATCACAATATGCTTTATTATCTCACCACTGCAATACTTTTATGAAAGAGTTTTAGAGGCACTGTTATACAAGCAAGTCATTTATTATTATGACACAACAATTCAGTAGTAGAATTCAAATTAGTACTCCCATAGGATTCAGTTGCTTTTGAATTATGAAAGATTGGGGTACAATGTCAGGCTTGGTTTTTCACAAAATTTCTGTCCTTAGGGCTACTGAATCTCAATTTCACATTCATGTTCTTTCTACTAGACTATATAACAGCAATTAAAAGGCATGAAATATGACACTAGCTCCAATGGAAACTCAGGTATGGTCATCATCTTGGTTTTGTTTTATCGTGTTGTGTTGTGATTTTGTTTCACTTCATATATAAGCAATGGGCCAAATTTGTATGATGTTCCTTCTCATAAACTTTATAAAGATCAAGTCAACTGATACATATGGCTCCTTTAGTGCTGTTTCTTTTTTTAAAGTTTATTTATTTATTTTGAGAGTGAGAGAGAAAGAGAGAGAGAGAACACAAGTGAGCAGGGGAGGGGCAGAGAAAGAGGGAGAGAGAGAATCCAAAGCAGGCTCTGCACTGTCAGCACAGAGCCTGATACAGGGCTCAAACTCACAAACCATGAGATCATGACCTGAGCCAAAACTAAGAGTTGGACGTTTAACCTAGTGAGCCATCCAGGCACCCCTTTACTTCTGTTTCTTAAATGCATGTTTCTTAACTTGACTACACAAAGCTCTAATTATATTAAAATCAGAATTTGTTATGCAATCACAAAAGCAAACAGGTTATTTTTTGTTGTTGCATTAATTCCTTCCAAAAATATTTGTTTAGTATTACTAAACTGTAGATACCTTGGCAAGCAGTGTGATAGGAATAAGACTAATGAGACATTGTCCTTGTTCTCCAGGTGATTATAGAGTTGAAGTGGGAGAAGGATGGTGCATGAGGGAAGAAACAACCCAAGGATTATGCATTAGTGCAGTACTATACACTGATAAGGACTAATGTAAGTGGAAGCACAGAATATAAATGGTGAGTCTCTACTTTAGAAAGGGGATCAGGAAAGGCTTCCACAAACAGGTGATTGATGGCTGAGTTGAATCTCAATGAAGCAGAGATGGTAGGCAGACAAAAGAGGATGGGGAGAAGAAAAATACAGACTGCATAAAGTTCATAATGGCTACAGTGCAGAATATGTGAGGTAGTGGTAGGTACAAGCCATGAGATATTACAAGTTGCAGGGTCCAAATGATAAAGGGTTCTAATGCCATGTTAAGGAATTTGACTTTAGCTTGAATATTTTAAGGAACCACTGAATGATTTCTAAGCAAGAGGATTTGATTTCATGGTTGGGCGTGCATCTTAATAAACTCATTTTAGCAGTTTAGAAAATGGATTGGTCAGGGCTGGATTAGAGGAAGAGAGACTAATTAGGAAGACATTAAAGAGTTCCAGCCAAGACAAAGTGAGGTCCTGAGGTAAAGCAGTGACAACAGTGTTGGAGATAGCAGATGTTTTTAGGAGATGCTAATGAGGTTAGCTCTTTAGGTCTTGGCATCTGATTGGATGTGAAGGTTGATTTTAAGGAAGAAGTCTAGGGCGACTCACAGATTTCTGCTTGGGTAAATGCTGGAAGATAAGTTTGTGTGTGTGTCTGTGTGTGTGTGTGAGAAACAGAAATATACTAAGCCAGAAGTATACAAGATGTAAGATATACTATTGGGATTCAGTATAGACTGCTTAATATGTGGTTATGCAAATCTACATGAAATTTCCCTTTCTTTCTTTGAGCAGAATACTATAATCTCACTGTAACATGGCTTCAAATAAAATAAATGGAGGGAGGGAGACAGGTGAATGGAAATTCCAAAGGGAAGGAACCATGGATCCGTGATCATCTAACTGCATTATTATTTGCTTCTTCAGAGCTGTCTATTGGTTATTATTAGCCAGCTTAAGGAAAAGTCATTGCGGGAGTTATTACCCAAAGCTCTCTGAGTATCTGAGATGATGAAAAATGAGAATCATTATATGTTAGTCATGCTTTAAGAATGGGATTATAAAACTCTGGCCTGTGGCCCCAATCTGACTTGCCTCTTGTTTCTGAAAATAAAGTTTTATTGGGACACGGCTATGTCCATTCATTAATTTATTGTCTATGGCTGTTCTCATGCTACAATGGCAGTGTTGAGAATTTGTGACAGAGGCCAGAGTACTCACAACTCTTAAAATATTTACCATCTTGTCCTTTAGAGAAAACATTCATTGTTCTAAAGGATCATTTTGCACATCATTTTAGTGGTCAACAAAACCTTAAGTATAGCTTCCCATTTGTTTCCTAGCCTATGTGCATTTAGGTTGGGGGCATGTAACTAATTCTGACCAAATGACTATTAGTCTCTATCTCTCTTTTACTCTCCAGAAGATGTAGCTATAAGATGGAGGGTCATTCACCTCACACTGGATTTTAAGAGAAGTTGAAATAAATTTCCTTTAGGTTAAACTGCTGAGATTCTGGGTTTGTGTGTTGTGGCGGCTAGCATTACTTACCCTAACTAGCACAATGCAGTGGCTCAGAGAGGTTAAATAATTTATGCAAGATTACATAAGTAGTTAGCAGGAGGGCTTAGATTAGAAGGAGGTTTCATGTGTTCAAATCTAGAGACAATTGGATGGTGCCTCAAAGCACAAAAGACAGAGGTGGGATTAAAAAGACATCTATGTGGAAAATGAAATAACAGCAATGGGAAAAAAGAGTAAAAAGATGGTAGCACTATTAAAAACGGAGATTAAAGAGGATGAGACTAGAATATTCACTCAAACTTAGATTTTAATACATTCCATTTTTCTAACTATTCTGATGGAATCTTGCTAAGCCATACAGTACAAAAGAAAAGTGTTTTCACAAATTCACTGAAATTACAAATAAAATTTGCCAAGTTTCAATGTGTAAAATGAGTTTCACTTGTGTTCCCTATGGCTACTCCTCTAAAACATCGTCCCCATGTGGTCCAACACTTGTATCTCTACTTTCCAAAGGACTTGCTCCCACACATATTTACTTAACCAGAGCCAGCAAAGTACAGATCATGGGCCAAATCCAGGCTTCTATTTTTGTAAAGCCTGTGAGCTAAGGATGGCTTTTATATGTTTTTAATGGTTGAAAAAAACAACAAAAATAACATTAGTGACAGGTGAAAATTATATGAAGCTCAAATTTCAGGGTCTATAAATAAAGTTTTACTGGAACATATGAATGGCACACCCATTCATTTACATGTGGTCTATGGCTGTTTTCACACTATCATAGCAAGTTGGGTAGTTACAACAGAGATTTATCACCCACAAAGCCTGAACAATTTTATACTCTTTAACAGAAAAAGTTAGTGACCCCTTCTATAGACTGATTAGGAGATGTCTCTGAGGAGGTGAAATGGAACAGCTCCATAAATGACTGAAATAGTCACAGCCAGCTCCATAGAGTTGCTGGAAACAGTGGCAACATGAGCGATGCCCTTTGTTCTACAAAGCAGGGAAAAACAACATTTTCCTGTCTTCCATGGTCTTATTTGCTACTTAATATCTTATTCCCTTGGG